ACTCCAAGATCTTTAATAAATTCATGTGAGTCAATATAATTTCTACCTTGATCATAGCAACACGCACAAAAATAACTTTCAAAGGAGAAAAAAGTTTTCGCTGCTCTGTGTTGGGTTAACTTGGAGTAAGATTCGGTTTTTTTCTTTTTCGGTTAAAAAAGAAGATGATGAAATTAACTTGTCGGATATTGTTAAAAAAGCTATCTAGTGCTATTTTTAATAATAAAAGATGAAATTTACTTGCATCTCCATTAGTGAATCTTCGGGGAAAGAAACGTTATTTGCAATAATTGAAATTAACAAAGGAAAAAAAACTAAAATATATAATTATTGATGCTTATTGAACAATCACTTTTCTCACACTATATAGATCAACTCACTATCACTGCTCATTAATGGTATTATTGTGATTTCATGTCCTCTTCTACATTTAAAATATAAATTTTAAATAAATATTACAGCTTGCTTCCTAAATTTTATAAAATTTTTATTTTGGTTCCTATTTTATTTATATTGTGGTTTGATCCTTCAAGAGGAAAAAAAAAAAGAGGAGAGAGAAGGTTGAGACAAGGTTCATTCTGACTATGATGACCCCAGATACTACTTTCAATTTATTTATTTTAGATATGAAAAATTATCTATGGTGGTCTAAAGTCATAGAATGGTCTGAAAAAAAAAAAGATTGAGATCTTAAAATATATTGAAGTTTTTGAATTTGATTTAATTTTATAATTTTTAAATGCATTAAAATAATTTTTAAATGAGGTTTTTAAGGTCGTTTTAGTGATTTTGATGTGTTTTAACACAAAAACAGCTAAAAAATTAGATTCAAAAAGTTACAAATCTGTAGCCTCGGTTTTCCAGCAAACTATAATTCCCCAAGAGTTGCAAACAAGCGACACATCGTTCACGTCGTGTTTGACCCTTTTGTTTTTTGTTTTAAGAAATAATTGTACAGGTCTGCACATAGCCCTAGTTCTCTAGGTTCAAGGCGCAGGCCTAGCTTGTTTTCTTCCTCTTTTATTCATTTTCCTAATTTAATCTTAATATTTTTATTATTGAATTTTGTGCTAAATTTATCATCGTTTTTTTTGTGTTTTTTCGCCCAATCTTTGCAAGAAATAAATATTTATGATATAATTACATATTTTAGATTAAACATGTATATTCAAATTATGTTGCTCTTGTTATTTAAAATTTATTAAATTTAATTTTTTTTTAAAATTTCATCTAAATAATTTATTTATTTGCCTCTTTTAGGAAATATATTTGATAAAAATGTAATTTAGTTTTCTCCACTTCTAGATTTTGGACTAAATTTTTTTGAACATTATTATTTTTTTATTTTTAAAACAAACCAATATAATCAATTTAATAATTTTTTATATTTTTTTAAATGAAAGTAACATGATTTTAAATACATTGTAAATAATTTGTTCCATATTTTTGGGGAAAATATTGATTTTAAAAATAATTAATTAATATTTAAATTTAATAAGTGAAAAAAATGGAGCGAGTGCTCTACGTGTCTCTACTTGGCATGTGCACAGGGCCAACGCATGTATGGCCTAAAAGTAAAAAATATTTTTATCAAAAAGAAAAAAAAAGGGATCCATGTGTCTTATTTGCTTCTTTGTTATACAATTAAAATTTATTGAAATTGATTGTCTAGAGGTTTTTATCTCAACTGGATTCAATATATTCTTTATATCTTAAGTATTTTTGTGATACTTTTTTATTTAAATTGCAGACTATAAACTCATTCAACACACACACATATATATATAAAGCATGTCACGAGCTTTATTGAAAACTAGATATGCTCCTACACACAAAATATGAAAATACCAACCATTCACTGTTTTTTTTTTTTTATATATATATATATTCTTAAATCAATTTTTTCAGTTGAAATTTATAAAATAATAATTTAAAAACCACTCGATAATATTATACTTTCAAATCCCAAATAAGATTGGAGTTTTTTAGGATAATATCATCCATTATTTTGCAAACAAAGAATCCAAATTAGATTATAACTTTAAAATTATCTCCAAATTGGAGGCACATATAACTTAAAGCTAACATTAGTGTATTTGTTTGATTTATATTATTATATGAAATTACAATTTTTAATCAAATAAATAAATAAAACAATCACATTTTTCTCATGGAGAGAAATTTGAACAAGACTTAAAATTCAGATAAAAAATATATAATATTGTCATTTTTTTTGTCAATTGAGTATATAAATTTTATATTTTTTTTATTTACGTACACTAATTTTTTTTAAAGCTACCAATCAAATATCTTCTTCGAAGTGCCAAAATATCAAATCACAAAACTTTTCTTTCAAATTATTCTATTATTTCCAAATAAACAAAGAAGCCTAAAGGTAACCAAAAAAATATGCAAGTGTAGTTTTGCGAAATGAAATAACACTCATAATTTGGATATTAATATGATATAACACTTTTCGTGTTTAAAGATTTCATGTTCTATGTTTAAGAAATTTATATAGAAAACTTTCGATTCTAAATAAAAACATTAAATTGCTATAAAACATGCTTTGATATAATCAAATATTATAATTTATATACCAATTGTTTTTCTTATTATTTTTTATGATGCCATTTCTGCTCCCAGCGCAATGGGAATGATAAACTAGTTTCTATGTAAATAAAAATGAATAAAATAAAAGCTACAGCTTGGAATTCATTGGTGATTGTTGCAATAGAAACTTAGTTCTTAGGTGTTTTTTTTTTTAATTAGTTATTTGGTTAATTTAGTAGTTTATAAAAAAAAGTTGGTTATTTTAAGATTCAAATATGTAATTTTTGACCATATGCCAATCCTACTTTAGAATACCTCACCAAGAGGAATTTATTAATGATTTTTTTAAGATTCAAATATGTAATTTTTGACCATATGCCAATCCTACTTTAGAATACCTCACCAAGAGGAATTTATTAACGCAGTTGCTAAACTCGACTCGAGTTATGACTCGCTAAATACCTAAGTTATTGGTCACTGAGTTAATTTGCAAATTATTGGATTAACTCAGAGGTCTAATTTTTTTTCATTTTTAAGTAAAAAAAATAATAAAATCAATTTTTTTTCCCGTTGACCAGGCCAAGTTTTTGAGCAAACCATCTGGGTTAAATGGATTTCGACCTAGCCGACTGGATCAATAGCTTATCTGATTTATTCACAAACCTGACCCAATCTAGGGCCAGAATGGTCAGTTTTTTGGGTCAATCTACTCAGTTGGGCCATATTTGGACAACCATTATTATTGGAATGCTATGTTCATGTTTTGTGGCCCAATAGGTGACGGGTCTTCGCTGGTCAAAATATTTGCTTACGTACGCATAGTAAAGCCCATAAAGTGGCAGAGAGACAAAGTATTTAGGTCCGTTTGATGATATTGGCCGAAGTGGATATTTAACAACTGTCCAGTCTTCCCTCCTATGCAGCTTCGCAAAGCAAAGCAAAATTTTGGATCCAATCATGAACCTACAAGTTTAAGGTTTGGATGCTCGGTAAGATTTGTTGATTCATTATTTTTTAGATTTAATTATTCTCTTATTGGCTTTATTTTATTTTGTTTATCACTCACTGTAAATGATCTGTTGAATAAAATAAATATCACGTGAATAGGTGCATTTAATTATAGGATTTGAATTTGTATATGTTGATCAAATTTAAATAATTAAGGAAGACAGACTTTAATTTCTTTCTTTCACAAGCGTTTTCCAATTTATTAGATTTTTTGAGGAGTGGTGCATGAGACTCACCAAAGCTAAGATCTCATCTCTTTAATTTGTTTAGACAAGCTAGCTAGAGTATCAATGAACCACAATTTTATTTATTAGTTGAAAGGTAGATTGTTATTAGTACTATTTTTTTTTTCAGTTTGGTAACAGACGTGAGAATTAGCCCATTAATTTATAGTTTAATTGGCACACACATATCTTCCTCTAAAACCTAATTACCAAGTATAAGAAATTGAAGAATAATAATTTTTTTTTAAAAAAAAAACCCTAAGAGATGGTTCCAGATTATAAGAGGAATCTCATTCTTATGTTATTTGCTTATAAAAGTAACACGTCTTCCTCCAATTACTTGTATTGAATTTGGATATTTGAAACTTCAATCCAAACATAGGCGCGATGAATAACTGGAGAGCATTAGGATAATGTTTTCGACCGTCAGATTCATCGTCGTCCTGTTATTACACCGGGAAAAAGAAAACACAAAACTAAATTTGCATCGAAACCCACGCCGATGCGTTAGTGAACGATCTGTCACTCTCATGTATGTATTGGAAATAAAAGTCTGTCTCATCTTCAGCTGATCTGTCCAGCAACCACAGTTTGGTTTGAAGTGGAATCTGATTCTGACTCCTTTATAGTTTTATAAATAACTGGAGGGGACGATGAAAATGGAAAAGAGCCAATAGTACTGGGACACACAAAGAGAAATATCAATCATTCTGCCGCCGGTACATATCAATCATTCTTCCTATATATAGTCACTTGCACGAAATTCTCTGTTATAATAATTAATGAAATATTTTCACTTGGCACTGCTTTTGATTTTTCACCAAATTAATATTCCTATCTCACTTTCACGATCAAGCGTTCCAATATTATATTGTACCAAAAGCTAAACTTCAATATTATATATAAACCAAAGATTTATTAAATGATAGTGCTGCAGAAATACATTTTCTATTATCGTCATCAAGAAGCACCATATCATGAAAAAGAGAACATGGATTTTTTTTTCTCCTTACATTTCCTTATTCATCACCTTACAATCATAGGTACAAATAAAGGCGGGAATTAAAAAAAAAAGAAAAAAAAAGAAGAGATTTAGTAGTTTACAGAGCTAAGCTTCAAACTACTACCAATCTCTAAATTACCAGGCAATGGGATGTTGGACATCCCAGAAAACTAACTAATACTTACAGCAATATTACAATCTCCAATCACAAACTAGTTATCAAAATCCAAAGTTTCATTTTCTTTGGCTTGGTTTTCTTCACAGTTCACTTTGGCAGGATGGTTCTTCTTGTACCCCCAGAAGAAGCAACCGCTAGGGTTCTTACCTTTCTTCTCACCAGTAACAATTCCTTTCTCAGCCTGCTCTAATTTCTCCATCTTTTCCTTGTGTAGCTTTCGCATCACATAAGCTTGTGCAAGACCCGTATCAATCGCTGCCATTGCTAGATATTATAGAGGGAGATAGACCAGGGCGGAATATTTAATTAAAGGCAGCACAGGTGGCGTGTAGAAATCTGAAGGTGATAAGGTAAGGAGGTTGAAATGGCTAGAGTTGGATAACAGAAGATCGGGAATTAATTCGTAAAGAATGAGGTTAAGAGGCACTTGGGGTTTTAATTTATAGGCTCGTCAAGTGTACTGCTAGTTGGACTGGGACACAGAGTTGTGTGGGGACACGTTTCAGAGCTAAGATTTCAACTTTCAAGGGTGCATGACTTGGTGGCCACGACACTAGCAAGCTTAATTGGGATCCTGGTGGCTCGTTGAGTCGAGGGACCGACGTGTTAGATTTGTGCACTGCAATTTTCTGGAACGGTGAATTGCGATAGCAAGATGTGTTAAAAGTAACTAAATCTCCTCCGATATCTTAATTGAGGGTGGGTGGATTACGTAAGCAAAGATGTGGCGTTGTGGGCTTTGCATGTATGGATGTAGCCAACTTAATTTCTTATTGGACTCTCACTTTTGTGCCGGTTGACACATACAAAATTAGTCTCCAAGGAATGAAATTTCTTGAGCGTCAAGGATGACCTATGTTTTGGTGGGGACCCCCGAGCCGAATTGACGAGGAAAGCGCCTTTAGCACACGTGATAGAAAGGAAGAGACGTTCTGTTTAACGGAAATTCAGGCACGCCATGGATAGGAGTGACTTTAAAAGAATTTGATCTTAAATAATTATATTTTTATGTAAATTTTGTCTTTTTTCCACACACATGACTGACAAAATTTTAACAATCAACGAAGGTTAAAAAAAAAAAACTCTTTGTCAAATAAAAAAAAAGTTCCCTCTAGCTCTCAAATTTCTCTTCGCATTATAGAATCCGAAAATTCGACATCTTTGAATTTGATCGGTACATCAAAAAAGTCAGATTAAGAGATCAAGATTCTAACCTAAAACCTAAAAACGTTTCAACCGTGCCAATGAATGGACTTCACTTTAAGAAAGCAATGACAAATGGAAAAGAACTAGAGATATCACCTAACTTTGAATGACAATCCGTTAACGACATTAAAATTGAGGAAGGGGAGATCATTATTATAGAGAAAGATTGGATTAGATCTATTGAACTATCCGCACCATTTAAGGAGTGACTTAAACAACCATGAGAACTTTCCGTAATGGACAAAATCCTTGGTCGCACTATGGTTTATAAAGCATTATATATTAGATTGAAGACTATCCGGAATGCTATGAGCCCATTTAGGGTCATTGATATGAAGAATGATTACTTTTTGGCGTAATTCTCCAATTAGGTTGATTACTTACATGCTTTGGTAGGGGGTCCCTATGCAATCCTTGGTCACTACTTGATAATTCAGCCACGGGATCATGATTTTAAAGCTTCTAAAAGTAGAATTAAATGTGTAGTGGAATGGGTAAGGTTTCCAAACCCACCATTAAATTGATATCATCCTCAAATCTTATGAGTAATGGGTAATATGATAGGTAACAAAATCAAAATCAATCACAACACACAAACAATTATAAGGGCTAAGTTTGCTACGGATATTGATCCGGAGACACTTATGAAAATCCTTCTTTTGGATCAATGGAAAAACTCCAAAAGTAACATATTAAGAGTTGCCATAAGTATTTTATTCTTGTGAGAGAGTGGGACATAATATCTTATTCTCGTCCTTAACGTAACCCGACAACAAAGGCTACTCGATTGAAGATCATAGGAATGATGCATTAAATGAGGAATTGATGAGTGTTAATCATAATATCCTTAGCATTAATGTTGACGGAGAGAAATTAGGGCCCCGGATTCATGCCCAAAGTAAGCCAAATAGGAAGACAAGGAAAAAGGATTTTACGGGATACAAAATGGTGACAGTGACTAAATCGATTTGATAATAAGGGAGAATTCAAGAAAAGAATCTCGTTTCTTTATTCTATAATCCATGGAAGATGATTTGCATATCATAGATGACCCTTACCTTTGCTTTTAAGATCTAAACGTGTTTTCCCTAACCAAGCCCAACTTCATAAAACAAAATTCAAGCCCGTGCAACTTGTTACCGACTACTCAATTCAAGTCCGATCTATATGCAAGGAGACAAAAATGGACTTCTTACCAAATCCTCACACTAGCTCATAAAGGCTCGTTCTTATTGGTCCAAACCAAGCCCGACAAAGCAAGAATAAGGCCAAGCTAGCATATGCTTGGTATGGACTCTTTTATTAAAGCCCATTTTGTTGGCTTTGTAACCCTCTCCATCGATAAAATCATAGAACCATTTATCACCCTAGTAGTTGTGAAGAACGATAATTTGATATCAATGCAATCGATGATAAAGATAGCTAATAAGCGTACCTTGGTAATTCTTGTTAATGAAAATGATGGCCCGAATCAATTAGAAGTGGAAAAAACCAAGAATCTATCGATGAGAAATGACTCAATTCGTGAAGACGTGAATTTAATATAGAGATATTTATAGGGTTAGGTTAGACTATGATATATTACGGTGGATAAGTCGTCTAACATAGTTTTTGCTACTAAGAAGATAAAAAAAACCCAATAAACTTGCTATCCCTATTCAAAAAGCAATATACAAGGTGTCTCAAAACAAGGGCTTGAAACTCGAGTGGGTAATGTTAGTGTCTTTAGAAGAAGATGGGTTGTGCTATGAACCCACGATTGTAAAATTAAAGGGAGGACAAGGTTCGGTTATCTAGCTCTTGAGTTTTAGATCCGCCTTTGTATATTTGCATTAATGATGACTACAAAGATTATGTTTTGAAACCGCCAATGCGTTGGGCACAGATTCTTTAGAGCAATTTGTTGTGATTATGAGAGACATCATACACCAAAGATCTTAGCCATTTTTAAGCTAGAAATTAGTGAGATACTTGCTTCCTTCACTATCTAATAAATGAGTTTTACTAGCTCTTAGAGGATAGAGGCTAATGATTTTTTAGGAGGTATTTGGCTATTGTGGTTTGATATGAGCATGTATAAGTGCTAGACAACCATAGATAATTCATGCATACAAGAATTAAATTAGGGATGAGTTAGTTTTTGTTGAAAACAGTTTATGGTAACCCAAAAGGTCATATGTGGATAAGACTTTGGGATAAATTGAGAAGAGTTATAGATAATTTTTTTGAGTCGTGAGTGTTTGAAGGGGATTTTAATGTTATGTTGTATAGAATAGAAAAGAAGAGAGGTCATGGTTTCAATAACTACAATAGTAATGCTTCTTCCTCTTACATAAATGATTATGACTTACTTGATTTGAGGTTCACAGGTCCTTTATACACTTGGTAAATTGACAATGTTTAGGAAAGAATTAATCAAGTAGTCCGTAATATTGAGTGGTAGTTAGCTTTTTTAAATATTGAAGTGCATCATCTCCCTTGAAGTAAATATGATCACAAACCTATTCTCTTGCACCTTAAGGTTCATAAAAATCAAGTCGCTAGTATTAGAAATTTCATATTTCGAGCTACTTGGTTATTACGATCTAACTTTAATGAGTTTATCAAGAATACTTAGAAAACCGATGCTCCATTCCTAGTAATCAATGATGATTTTGAAGGAAAAACATCATATGGAGGAGCAAAATAAACAATTTTTTTTCCTTTATCTAAAACCCAATATCACCATTAAATCATATAATTATATTAAGAGATTATTTAGATCATTACCTCTTGAAGTTTAGTAACAAAATAGTAGATTAAACCGTCCAAGTGTCTCGGTATCTAGTGAAAATCCATGCTTTATTGGTATACTTCCATCGTGGTCACAAATTCTTGAACAGTACATCTATCGAAGTGTAATGTGATAACTCCTTTAGCATATAAAGAATGACATGTCCTATCTTAGTGCTCCATCTATCTTTCTTAGGTTAACGAATTGCTCATATGTAGCTCTTTACTCGAGTCATTAATAATGAATGTCAAAGCACATCAATCTTCTAAAGATATAACCATGATAACTTCAAGTCAAAGGATCGCTTGTACCAATCTCGTTTGAAATTCTTATAAACTAGGTTCTTATGACGAGTCATATTTAGTGATATATTCTCTAATATTATTCACTCGCGTGTTTACTTAGGCATTGCAATGCCGGTATGTGTGAGATCTTCTACTCGCTATCCTATAGTAAGAGCATAACATAACACATAAAAATCTTATCGCATATTGTCAATGTCTAATTTGATAATGATATGACTTGAGACATTTAATGATTTTATTTAAGTGCACCGATATTTGTCTCAAATCTATTGATCAATCATAAAAATAACATCACATGGACTTTTATCTAATTCATTCAAGTCATAAATAACATGAATTAATAAAAAAACTTTTTTATTACTAAATATGCAATGATACAATATTCAAACTATTTAAAAAGGTTGAATCTAGGACATCTATACTAATATATTTGATTTCCGTTGTTAAAAGATGAAACAATGACGACTTTGGCAATATACTCAATAACAAGATGAGATTGTTGGCTTGTCTATCCGGTATTGAGAGAGTGTTATCTACTATCTTTAATCATTTTCTTATTTAATTTGATAACATGTTAAGAAAGGATTATGAAGACATTATTTTATAAGAAGAGCTTTACTAGTTTCGAAGTCTTAGTATGAATGGCTTGATGCTAAGTATTACCATGTTATGATAGTGGTGAAAAAATGAACTACAAGAGTGGTGGGATTACGAGATGAAAACCGAAATTAGCATAGTGAGGATCACAAGTTGTAAGCTTTGATTCTCGGATACTATAAAAATTTATTCTCAAAGAAGGGGATTACAAACACTACAAAAATTTGTTCTCAAAGAAGGGGATTACAAATACCGACTCCTTATCTTATGGGTTGTTCCCTTAGTCGCCTTATACCTTTATTGAACTTCTTAACTCAATGGTGTTTGATGATGAAGTATGAAGGGCTTTTTTTGATATAACACCTTACAACTCTCAGGAGT